AAAAAAAAAAAAAAAAAAAAAAGACACAACAAACAAATCAAAAAGAGAAGCATAACTATTCTTTATTATGATTCTTTATAATCTCTCCCTTGGGTCCTAAAATACAACACTGTATCAGACAATGCTGTCAACAAATCTCACAGTAAAAACAACTTAAGTTGGAAGTTAGTACACTAGAGTCAGAGGACCAAAGCCAGCCAAACACCTGTTCGTGGAAATAAAGTTTTATTGGAACACAGCCAGGCTCTTTTGTTTACATACCAGCCACGGCTGCCTTCCTGCTACAGGGCAGGGCTGAGCAGTTGCTACAGGCTCCTTACCCGCCCCATCAATCTACCATATCTGCTCTAAGGGTAAAAAAGGGGACATACAGAAAAGCAGTTCTGAACCTAGAGCAAGAGGTTTATTATTATTTGTCCTGTGGGTAAGACTCAATTTGCATTAAGATGTGGGATTTAGTGTTCATTTACACAGTGGGGATAAAATGACTTTGGGTGTTTATTCATAGAGAAATAATAGACGCTTACGTGCTGAACTCAACTCTGCAACAGACCCAACGAAGACGTCCTGCGTGAACACTGGCTCATTGTCATTGATATCAAGAACTCGAATGCGAAGTTCTATTGGTTTCTCTAGGTTGTTTCCTCTCTCATCCAAAGCATAACCTACTAGCTGAAATCATGACATAAATAACAAATACGATTAGATTTAAGGTAATGTGACTGAACTACCATACTATGAAAAAGTAACAAAACAAATTATACCTATCGCCAAGGAAAAACCACAACCACATGTAAAACCATTCTTACCAAAAAATATGGTGTTTCTTCTCGGTCAAGGATGCTGGTAACATTCAATTCTCCAGTGTCTTTGTTAAAGACAAATATACCAAAAGGTGGCTCTGTGATCCCTTTTCCAGTGTATTTGTATGTAATTTTTACTCCTCTTTCTTCTGCGAGATCAGAATGTATCTAACAGAGAAATGTTTCAGGAATGTTGTGAGAAGAGCTTAGATAACGCCTCGAACATTTTTAAAGATCATTAACTAAATTATTTTGAAAAAAAGTTCAAACCATTTCTTTTTAAGCAAGTATATTCTATTTTTTACTTTTTTTTTTTTTT